AAAGGATCGTCACCAAAGACATTTAATGAACATGTCGAAAGAATGGTCATTAGTTGAAATGATCGTTGACATTGTGGAGTTTATGTAATTGACACTTTGAACTCATTTATGTATTGTTTTGACAAAATAGTATTACTGTCATAATTGTTGGTACATGTACATAAATGGATTATGTGAATGTTAATGGGGATGGTCTTTTCGAAGACATTAGTTTAATGCAATTATTGAATTTCTCATTACATGTCATGTTAGGTATGGACTAATATTATAATACATAGAAGGAATTATGCCGAAATGATGGTGTAAAACAACCATGACTCTTATTAATCTTTACTTAAGGATTATATATTAAATGCCCATTTTTACTTATGATATGCACATTATGTTACAGACCATATAACGAAGCAATATTTCATGGGCTAAGTAGGAGAATGTAAAATCAATTAATTGTGGTCAATATAATATTATTAAAGAATCAATTAAAGTGGTTTATATTTCTAAATACAAATGGCCCATTGAAAAGTGACAATTTTATAAGAGGAAATTAGGCCCTATATGTTCTTTTTTTAATTGTTTTGATTAATACTCTTAAATTAATTAAATATTTTAAGGAAGTAATAAATACGTCCTAAATTTCTCTAATCAAAACCCAACCTAGTTAATTACAACAAGTTTATACATTCAGGAATCACTCTGTGATTTTCAACTTTCCACTCCTAAGCTATTTGTACCAAAATGTTTATTTCAACTCATAATCTCAATCAATCAATAGTTCAATCGAAGAAGTGAAGAAGATACATAAAACAAAATAAAAAATATGAAGAAAATTGTTTCAGATGAGTCGAAATCGAAGCCTTCACACTGAGATATGGTGTAAATCTATCGCATACTTTTAAATACTTATTTGGTTAGTAATTTTCAATCACGCTCTGCAATTATCTGCTCTGATTTATGCCTAATTTTTTTCTCTAATTATTGTTTGAAATAAATGTGTATGATATTTACGTAGTTCTTGTCAAGAGGAATCCCTTTCATACTTAATTCGTGGATTGTCAGGCACCTTATAGAAGAAGAATATGGGGTAATTTTATATTTTAAGCACTCGTCTTTTCTTTTTGAAGTTTTTTGGTGTTTATTGAAATGGTAGAAGCAAAATTGAAAAATAATTGAGGAAAACAGTAAATTTGCATGATTTGTTGCGTCAAAAAATTGAAAAGTAATAATAAAAGTTGGGGAGCATAAACCATACTACCACAATTAACATGTTATTGGGACTCTGAGTTGAAAGTCAGAAAAATTCAGTTTGAAAAAGAAAAAAAATGTTCTTTTTAGGTCAATGTATATTATAATGCAAGAAATCTTCAGTGTGGACTTTGTTGCTCGACCATATAGTGCTTTATGCGATTTTTGGACATTGTTAGGAAAATATCAGAGACATGTTTTAAATTTAGACTTGTGGTTTTTATTTTTGTATACAGTTAAATGATTTTCTCTCGCCCTCAGCAATATCTAGAAAATGTCTGTGTCATAACGGTGTAGATTAACTTACTTCTTTTGTTGTGTGTTGTTGGATCATAGTGTTAAACGCAAAACTTCCATACACCATTGTATGCTTTTTTATTTGTGAAGTATGAATCTCAAAAATGATTTGCGAGATCTTGCAATGATGATGCTTCAACAACGCGAGAAAATGCAACAAAACTTTTGAAAGTTGCCTGGATGACATTCCCTTTAGGAATAATTGTTACACTTGCTGCATGTAACGTATTTTGGTTGAAAGGACTTGAGTTATTCTAGCCCATAAGCCCACGGTATGCTAATACATCAAACAAAACATTTCAAATCCACTTCCATGCTGTCGGAACCAGTCTACCTTCTGGTGAAAAATTGTTGGCTTTAAACGTGCGGAAAAATATGGAGTAGTGGAGAGAAATGAGTACTAAAATTTTATTACTTTTTGAGTATTTGTTACTTTTTATTTTCTGTGACTTTTTTTTACATGTAAATTTTTTTAATTTGTGTAACTTTTTTGAATTCATACCTTTTTTAAAATTTCTATCACTTTTTGGATTTTTGTCACATTTTTTAGTATTTGCCACCTTTTTCTTTTTCTTTTTTTTTTTTTTAAATTTTTGTCGCTTTTTTTAGCTTATTTGTCACTTTTTTCAATCACCTTCTTAATTTCTATCACTTTTTATGTTAAGAACATAATTATTGGTGCTGCACAAGTATATGATGTTATTTTGGTGTTTGTCGCTTTTTTTTTGAGCAAGTGTCATTTTTTTTTAATTTAATCACTTTTTAAGTGTTTGTCACTTTTTTATTTTCTATCACTTTTATTGAATCTGTAAAACTTTTTTTTAAATTTGTGTCACTTTTTTAAATTCATCATTTTTTTAAAAAAATTTCTATCACTTTTTTGAATTTTTGATACGTTTTAAGTAGTTGTCACTTTTTTTGAATTTTTGTCATTTTTTTAGTGTTTGTTACTTTTTTCAATTACTTTCTTGAAATTTCTATCACTTTTTTAGTAACAAACATTACTTTAAAATAAAAGTGAGGTTGCTTGTCATTTTTTAATATAAAAATGACACTAAACTTTTAAAAGTAAAATTGTTTCACTTCTAAAAATAAAAAAATAATAAAAAGACAAGTTTAAAAAAAAAAAAAAAAAAGGTGACATTGTGTCACTTTTTAATTTCAGACAGTATTTTTTACTTTAAAAAAAAATTTCATATGATTTTTCAAAAGATCTCTAAATTTAAGGGTATTTTTGTAAGTTGCCCATTTTATAACTGTTCACTTTAATGGAAAATGAGTAGTTTTTATGGCCATGAGAAACCATTTCTCTTAGCCAATAAACATGAATGGAACCCATCAAACGAAAACATTCAATTACAGAGAAATAAAGGAAGAAAATAGTTTTTCATTTTACTAGTTTCTCTTTTGCAAATTTAAATTATTTAAGTTATTGCCATGGATCAAAATATGTTTCTTGATCAATTAAATTTATATGTGAAAATCATGAAGTGTGCGTTTGATTACAAGCATGTTTGCACGAAAAGAAAATAAATTTTTCATAATTCAGTTGCCTAGAACTTATTTGTATGAAAATTGAACGTGTTCGATTGATATAATTTTCAACTTAGAAAATATTAAACTTGTCTTTTTTTATTGTCGGTAGATAAAAGAGAGTGGATAGATGATAGAGATGAAGAGTTAGTGAATTCTTTGGAAAATAAAGTCGTACTCCCCTAAAGAAAATATTTTCCTTGATTTTGAGGAAAATGTAATATAGTCATGTAAAAAAAATTCCATCGAAAAAATGACAATTAAACAGCACGATAGTAAGAATTTGAATGAGAAAAACATATTTAATATGAAAAATATTGACAATCAAACGCCCCCGAATTCTAAAGATCTTGGTATTATGGTTTAATCGCTTAAATCTCAACTCATTTTGTAGCTTATTCATAACTTTTTCTTTTGCATATGAATCATAACTTTTTCTTATTTTTTAGTCATACATTTTTAAAAAAAATCACTTTTCAAAAAAATTATTGGCAAAAAATCTGCATCAAATTGGCTGAGTTTCTTCAAAAGTTTTTTGACTGACCTTTCGACAAATAAAATCAAACAATAACATTTTACAATAAAAAATTGTGTTGTTGAAATTGATTTTTTTTTAATTGACATGTATATTCAATGCTTATAAATAGGCATTTATGCTTGAAATTCATGAATGTCCATATCCATATCTTTTTAGTTTCATTGGATACCTAAATTAATGAATTTACATAATATATGGGGTACGGTCGACTCTCCCATATTTTATTCTGAAATTTCATTTTTATTATTACTTGTACTTTCAAACATGTTAGTAGAAGCGTTCTACAAATTTCTTTTACTTGCTTAAACAAAGTGGCAAGGTGGTCACATTCAAGGATGATTGTTAGATCATGGACGTCTTATCCAATTTTATAAATTTACTTCATAAATTTACATATATATATATATATAAATTATATAATACATGCATTTTAGTTTTCTCAAAAGCTAGATAAACACTTTTCTTAAATCTACACTTTATGTCTTTATACTATGATGTGATATCTAATAAAGTTTGTCTCGTCCTTGTGATATCTTCGAACCCTATTATTTGGTAAAAATAGATTTTGGAATAATAAATTTTTGGAAAATATGTGATTGAAAAGTATGAAAAAATTTTAGAATTGCGTGTAATATTATTTTATTAAAAAAATATGTGGTTAAAAATTTGTTTAGAAAAAAATGGGGCTCAAACTATAAATGAAATCTGAAAGAAATCACAGCAATCATATCACCAACTACTAGTTAATATCCTAATAATCATTATCATATAGAATTCTATATAACCTTCCAACTTTTTAACCTCAAAAACCTCCATTTTTAATGGCACAATATGAATATGATGGAAGAACCCTAGACCCTTTTAACTCTAGCTTTGACATATGGCGTGAGTTGCCACCCAACAAGCTTAAGATAAACACTGACCAAGTCAGGCCAGGACAACATTTGACTATTTCAAAAATAAAAAAATAGTAGTCTTATTTACATTATTCTATCGTCTTAATTATTATACCCTTTTTTGGGTAAATTAACCATACTGGATAGTTCATTTTACTAATAATGAAAGAAAATAGTACAGGAGGGAAGATAAAAACTTATCAATCAAGAGACGTGGAGTAAAAAATGAAGATAATGAACACATAAATATAAATTTCTTATTTAATATCGAGTTAGATGAGGTTTGAACGCTCGCCAAGTGTGATCCGGCAAAGTTACTTTTCAACCCAACTAATTATTACATTATTTGTCGTTTGGCAATATCGAACAAGATTATCGATAATTAACGTGCATAATATCCATCCAACACGGTTTATTGAAGACTAGGTCCTCTTTGTTCATTGTTGATAATTAGGCCGGCATGATAAGAAATTATGTAACAATTAATTAATTAATGCTGTTAATTATCTATATAAGCAGCCTTGGATTGTCTTTTCTTTCTGCACCTCAAATCTTCTGCACATAACTAATCTTCTTCTTCTCCATTTCTTACTTGTCGAATCTTGAACAAAAATGGCATCCCATAATTTTCTTTTCTTCGCAGTCTTGATTGCAATTTGTGCAGTTGTTTTGGCATCTGACTCCAGCCCTCTTCAAGATTTTTGCGTTGCCGACCCCAACGGCCCAGGTATATATTATATGAATAACACGATTGGATTTAAAAATAGCACGGTCTAATTAAAAATACTCAATTGAGCACATTAGTGTTGGGTTATGTGCCCATATAGTATATATTTTATTGCAATAAAATGATATTCAATAATAAATATATTGTGGGTTTTATTTATTTATTGAATTTATTTATTATTGAACATATGATCACTTGCAATAATATAAGTTGGATATTTGTGTTGAGAGGTACGATATGATACAATTTATATTTCCAACATTTAGAGCATATATTTTCACAGTTTCAGGATCACTATAATAGACTCCATTGAGTTCTCCGCAATAGACCATTCAACACTATACTTCAAAAGTTAGCCCTAACAATTTCATTGCTGTCTACCAAAATGACTGAAAATATTTCAAAGAAATAGGCACTTACGACGTACAAAACATTCACCCTTCTTTATCTTATCTTTAAGGGGGCCTAACTTAATTTACAATTACAGGCATTGTGCTTGTTTCTTTTTCTTATGCTCGATATAGTGCTCGTAAATATTTTTAGTTTATGTCAAAATTCTAAGTGATTAAGTTCTGTTTGTTTACTATTAATGCAGTGCTGGTAAATGGGCATGCATGCAAGGATCCAAAACTTGTACGGGCAAATGATTTCTTCTTTAGTGGACTTCATTTACCAGGCAACACATCAAATGCAGTAGGATCAAGGGTGACTCCTGCAACTGTGGCTCAAATTCCAGGACTCAACACTCTTGGAATTTCCTTAGTTCGCATAGACTATGCACCGTGGGGCATTAACCCTCCTCACACGCATCCTCGAGCAACTGAAATTTTGACAGTAATTGAAGGCACTCTTGAAGTGGGATTTGTCACTTCCAACCCTGAAAATCGACTCATCACAAAAAAACTCATAAAGGGTGATGTTTTTGTTTTTCCGGTAGGGCTTGTCCATTTCCAACGTAATGTTGGATATACAAATGCTGTTGCCATTGCAGCTCTTAGCAGCCAAAACCCTGGTGTTATTACAATTGCAAATGCTGTTTTTGGATCGACACCTGCGATTCCCAATGATCTTCTTGCCAAGTCATTTCAAGTTGATATTAAGACAATTGATTGGATTCAGTCCAAGTTCTGAGCAGCTTGTCGGAATTCTATAATGTCTGAAAAAATTAATGATGTTGACCAAGTTTTGTCTTTGAAGTTTGTTAAGAAATTGTTTTTTAATTGAAATGCCTTGGACTTTTGTTTAGTTTGATTCATTGAAATATTGTTTGGATTGTTTGGATTGGAGAATAGTAAGAAATGTTCATACCATTTTATTTATTTTGTGAGTTCTGATTACTTAATTCTTTTATTGTTGGAACCAAATTCTCTCTTCGAATCGAAAATCAAAATGCAATGGAATATATATATATATATGAGACAATATATATTTCCTGCTTCTGCTAAGCTCTTAGATGGACTTCTTTAAGAATATCCATCATCGGCATGTGTCCCACTGGCTGTTGAAGTTGCTGGCTAAGCTCAATTTGGTGATTCTTTTACGTTTTTTATCACTAAAAGTGCTTCAAAAATTGAAGGCTGATAGTGGTCCAAAAACTGTTATTATTTTTAGTGAAGTAATTGTTTCCAATTAAACGCAGGACATTTATTTTAATCTATATTATGTACATGAAAATAATCATTCCAACTTTTATTTTATTTTATTTTATTCTCTCGCTATCTTATTTTTATTTTTTTGCCACCTATCAAGTAGGTTGTAGAAGTAGCAAAATTGTAAATTTAATGGATGTATCGAATTTTTATTTAAGAAGAATGTACAAAGTGACCATTTGAATTCTGGTCAATTAATTCTTTTATTGATGACACCAAATTCGCTCTTCAAATCGAAAGAAAAAATGCAACGCAGACAACATATATTTCACAAATGTCTTTTGTATATCCTCGACAACTTGCATTAATTTAAGATGAATTGGTAATGTGTGCATAGAGATCACATCGATCTACATTTCGTGAAATGACAATAATTAGGCTTCATTTAAGAAAATCCCCCTTCTAAGATGCCTTCAACTAGTGTCAAAACTTTTATGGCTTGAGGGTGAGTATGAGGAGGGTTGATGCCATATGGTTTATTGTCTACACAAACCTAGAAAATTCCAAAAAGTATTGAGATTTGAAATTTGAGCCACATTAATAGGAGTCACTCTGGATCCTACCGGATACGTTCCAGCTAAGATTATCTTCAATGGTCTATACCAAATTTCGGGTAAAATGGTTTCACACTAGATTTTATATCAAATTTTATTTTGAATTATTTTATACTAAATTTTATTTTACAAATTATATTATTAATAAATCTTTAAATTAAAATTATATTTAATGAAATGAAATATTGCATTTATTGAAAAAATTAAAGATAATACTGCAAATTATAAAAATTACATGGACAAGGAAAATTATATATAATGAGGATGACAACTCGTTTTTCACTTATTTGTCGAAATTAGTACATTAATTTATAGTTGAAATAATTATTACTTAATAACAAATTAGAATTTAAAAATAAATATTAAATAAAAATAACTATCATCTTAAATTAATAATGAATCAATTAAAACCTATTAACACTAAAATAATAAATAAGGACATAGATGGACGAAATAGTTTTTATAAAGGGTAAACAAGAGTAAAATGGGGTTAAATGAAAATTCTTATATTTGGTGTAAATGAATAGTGTTACACCAAATTCTTTTACACAAAATAAAATGGGATTCCATGTTTTTTTTTAACTAGAAAAGCTTACTGTTTGTTGGCTGCAAGTTTTGAGTTGCAAGAGTTGAAGGACTGAGGGATGATGGAGAATTAATGAGATTTAATTAAAGCAGTCTGATTTAGTACGAGTCTGAATGAGCAAAAATAATGGTTCTTCAACTGCGTATTGATTGATGGATTTGTTTGTACGCTGCTGGTAATTTTTTTTCAATTTTTGTGAAATATTCAGCTCCAGTTTGATAAAGATTCATTAAAACGATTTTTTTCTCATGTAAAACCGATTAATTGTAGCATAATATTATTAAAGAATTAATATTAAAGTGATTTATATTTCTAAAATCCAATTAACCCATTGAAAATAACAGTTTTATAATTGTCTATTTTCATGAAAGTGGGTAGTTTTTATGACTCATGGGGAACTTCATCATCATGCCTATAAAAGTGAATGGAATCCATCAAACAAAAACATTCAATTGCAGAGAGATAAATAGAGAGAATAGTTTCTTTATTTTACTAGTTTCTCTTTTGCGAATTTAAGTTATTCAAATTAGTACGATGGATCAAGGTATGTTTTTTGATCAATTAAATCAATATGTGAAAATCATCAAGTCTAAAGATCCTGATATTAGGGTTTAATTGCTTACATATGGTATAGAGCCAAGTTAGGAAATTCTTGATTTTCCTGGAAAGAATAACCACTTATGGATCCTTAATTATTTCTGATAGATTTATAGATCAAGGTTCTTGTTGAGATTAATGAAACTAATTATTGTTGAAATTCACGGCTGCTTCCCCCCTCCCCCCCGCCCCGCCCCACTTCATGAAGATCTGTAAATCAGTAGCCTTGAACTATAAAATTGACTTGATCTATTTGAAGGAATGAAACACACATGCAAGTTTAAATAGTAAATTGAATGACAAGTGGGCCTTTCGTTTACAGAGAAAAGGCAGAAATTTTCGTCATTGATATGTGCAATAATAATTATGTTTTGGACTGAGCTTTGGACTGTACATGTAAAGCCCCCTCATCTGCGGGAGGGGGGTACGAGCTTGATAAAAAAACTGCTGGACCCCCACATGTGAGGGGTTGTCATCCGAACTCACAGCTCGAATGTACAAGCATCAATTCCCTTATGTTTTATATTTATGTGTATTTTGTTGAATAAACTATAGATAATCAAGTGGTAAAAATGATGTGATTTACAGCTTTGACTTAGTACTGCATGACGTAGATGCAATGGCCTTTTTAATTAATTATTACTTTAACAGCCTGCTATAAAGTGTTTTCCATTTGCATATAGAATTTGATTACGTGAAATAAGAGAATTCTTATAGTCAAGTGATGGGTTTATTAAATTTTTGTGGTTAAATAAGAACGTGTAAATCTGTAAATAAACATTAAGTCATAAATGCCTTAATTATGCAATTAATGTTGTTCGTTAGTCATTAAAGTGGCCAAACTTTATGATATTACGAACATTAAGTTGCATAATTTATTTATGACAATTACTCTTGATAATTTGATGCTTATGAATGAAGATGACCCTAGGATTATTGTTGTTAAGGGTATATTGACGTTCTTAGAATATAAAACTGTTATGGATTGTTCAAAAATTGATCAATTAATTTTATTATTCTTGAATATGATCGTGGTCAATTGATATACTTAGTTAGATGTTTTGTACATCCAAAGATGATAGACATGTTTGATTGGAGTATATCTTATTACCAATTAAATGAAATTAAATTAGCAAATCATTTATGTTTATTATGATGGTATAACGTAGTATCACCTATAGGAGAACTGCGGTATTCTATTGTTATCTAAATTTGAAGTAAAGTATATAAGTCAAAACTCAAAGTATTAATGTTAGAGCATTTTATATTTTGCAGTATCCGTCCTCGTTTCTCTTCATTCGCATGTTTCGTCCGTACCAATGTTCAATGGGCTCAATTTCTTTAATTGGTGTGAACAAGTCTAGTTCAGATTAGAAGTGTTGGACTTAGACTTAGTACTTCAAGTTGAGAAACCTGCTGATCTCATTGATGAAAGCAGTGCTAATTAAATATTTTTCCATAAAGCTTAGGAGAGATCAAACGGATTAAACCTATTGTTTATGTGAATGACTTTAGCAAAGAATATCAAATCTACTATCCCTAAAATTGATATTGCTAAGGAATATATGAAGTTTGTGGAAGAAAGTTCCCAAACAGCTGATAAATCACTTGCTGGCATTGATGGGTATCTTAGCCACCATAAAATTTGATGGTTCTCGTTCTATGCATGAATATGTTACTGAAATGAGTAACATTGCAGCAAGCCTCAAGACTCTTGGGATGACTGTGGATGAAAACTTCTTACTACAGTTTATCATCAACTCCTTGTCTTATGAGTATGGTCCATTCCATATGAATTATAATACCTTAAAAGATAAATAGAATGTAAACGAATTGCATGATATGCTCGTGCACAAGGAGACATAGCTTAAGAATTAAGAAACTCATTCAGTTCATCTCAAAAGTCATTAAAGAGCTGGAAAGAAATATAAGAAAAGGCTTGGAAAGGGCACTAAGTAAGGACCACTAAAGATAAATGAGTATTCTGTCCAAATTCACAATAAGGAACACAAGAAAGATACACGCCATTTTTGTCGCAAACCTGGGCACCATAAAAGAGACTGCCTGAAACGTAAGGCATGTTTGAAAGTAAAGATAAGATTACTTCTTATGTATATTTCGAATCTAATTGGCAAAAATTCCTTATAATACTTGGTAGATTGATTCCAGATATACCACTCATTTTACCAATATGATGGACTCATTTCAATCCAGGCCATAAATCCAAATGTAAAGTTTGTCCTCATAGGAAATCGAGCCGAAGCTCCAGTTGAAGCCATTGGCACCTATCGTTTGATTTTAAATACTGAACATCATTTAAATTTATTTCAAACTCTTTATATACTTTCTATTTGTCGTAATTTAGTTTCCTTATCAAAACTTGATTCTGCTGGATATTTCTGTAATGGTGGAAATGGATGTTTAAGTTTGTTTAAGTAAAATCATCTTATTGGTTCCACTATTCTTTGTGATGACTTATATAAATTAAAGCTCGATAATCTTTTTGCCGAGACTCTTTTAATCTTGCATTGTAATGTTGGTACTAAATATGGTTTGTTGTATGAACGATCTGCTAACTTGTGGAAACAATTGGGTCACATATCTAATGAAAGAACATAAGGAATATTAAAGAATGAAATCCTTCCTGACTTGGATTCTTGTGATCTTAGAACTTGTGTGTATTGTATTAAGGGTAAACAAACTAAACATACTAAGAAATGAGCCACAAGAAGCACACATCTTCTTGAGATAATACACATCGATATATGTGGGCCTTTTGATGTTCCATCCTTCGGTGAAGAAATGTTTCTATCACCTTTATTGACAATTTTTCACGTTATAATTATGTCTATCTTTTGCATGAAAAGTGTCAAGCTATAAATACTTTACAAATCTATG